TGCACTTTCTCCTCCTTCAATTGGGTCACTTAATTTTGAAAATTATATCCTTAGGCAGATAGAGAGCTCCTGGGACTAGCTGAATTTTATAGGCTTGAACTGAGGGTCACATAATTTAAGTGGCAGGTGAGGGACCTGAATCTGACCATCAGCTTCAATTTCTGTCTCTTGATTCATGGATCAACACTGGGGTGGCACCATAGGCACATTCCTCATGAAAACAAAAAAAGTGAGTTTTCTATTCCCAACTACACATCAAAATCACTTGAATCCACCTACTTAAGTGCAGATTCTCAGGTCTTCCTTTGCCAGGGATAGGACAGAAAAGCTCATTTTAGCATACTTCCCAGGTGACTCTGACACAACCAGCTTGGTGCCTCTACAAGAACTGGTATTGAGAAAGTCCAGAACAAGAGTGGAATAAAGTCACTTTGTCCTTCCAAAACTAAGTGATCCAGTTCCTCAAGACTTCTAGTCTCATGTACTGTTGAGTACTGGAAAAATGAACTGGTCATTGCTTGCATCAGAAAGACTGATCAACGTACACTGTTGGGCAGGAGATCTGTGCTTTTGTATAACAGTAATTTAATTCCAGTAGAGGCATTTTCCAGGTTGTGGGTCTGTGAGCAAGTCACTTAACAAATTCTTGGGTTCAGGAGCATCATCTGTCAAGCCAAGCTAATATTAACCAAACATGAAGAATGGTAGAGAAGGCAATACTTCTGGGGCTCTACACATTTAAAAAAAAAAAAAATCTTGCACTCCTTGAAAGGAAAATAATAGACAAATGAATAGTGAGAAGCTTTAAAATTCACTTTCAATACAACCTACATGTTGAAGTCATCTTAAAAGTCTGGAAGCAAAGCTTGTTGCAAAGAGTCAGCAAGTAGACCACCATTCTGTGTAGATCCTGGTTTCGCCTTTCCAATGGAGTTAAGCTAGAACATCTAGGCCCCGGGCTTGTATTTCCAGTATTGTTTCTTGATACTCCCTATCTATTTTATGTATCAAAGATTAGCCAACTATGGCCCATGAGCTAAATTTGGACTTAGAACTACTTTTGTAAGTAAGGTTTTATTGGCACATAGCCAAAAATCATTGGTTTATTTGTTTATGGCTGCATAGGGTTACAATGACAGAGTTGAGTCATTGTGAAAGAGACTGTCCACAGTCTCTTAGTCTACAAAATCTAAAATATTTACTCTCTTAACTTTTCACAGAAAATGTTGGTTGACTCCAGCTATAGACAAGTTTTTTTTTCTAGTCATTTTTGAACATGATGCACAATTAAATACATTTTACAATGAAACCTACTAAACTATGTTTCTCAAAATAACTTTTACCTTTATTAAACACAATGAATTCTGGTAGTTCTAAGTCTATTATATCTTTAAAGCTGTCTCATGATCCTAAATGAATCTTATCCATGTTGCAAAAACACTGTTCTAGAACTACTGAACAATTGCTTATGTATAACATGGCTTCTGCTTACCCATTCTATTCCTATCCTGATGTTGTTCCCTCTATCTGACAAGACCCTGCCATTTCATCTCAGTATGTACAAATCCTTCCCATTCTTTAAGAACTAGCCTAATATACACCTCTTTGATGAAATATGCTTTGAACCTCCAGTCTAAAAGCATTTTCTCCTCTCCAATAGCATTTTTTTCTGTTCTTTTATTGTGGAATTTGAAAGTTTCTGTCTTGTAGAACAATAATCTTTGTAATGTTCTAGTTATATACTGTAAAGAACACAAGAGCTTTTAAGTCTTAAGAATTCTGGTTTTAAAAAACCATTCAATACAGTGTCTTACATGCTGTAAGTACCAAGTAACTGTTTACTAAATGAAATAAAGAAATATTTGCTACTAGATTTACAAGGAAATGAAAAGATAGCTCAAGTTTATGGACTGTAATAAACAATTAAAATGTTGATCATACTCAAAGCAACATATTCAATGCAAATTCCATCAAAGTCTTGATGGAATTATTCAAAGAAATAGAACAATGTAATTGAAATTGATATTTCAAAAGAACCTTAATAGCCAAATCAATCTGGACATGAAAAGGTTAAAAATGGAAGTATGCTTCTACACTTCAAAAGATACTATAAGTATCATTTTATTTATTACTATAGTAATAAAACCAATATGATATTGGGATAAAAATAGACACAGGTCAATGGAATAGAACTGAAAGTCCAGAGGCAAACCAAGATTTATATGGAAAGGTGTTCTCTGACATAGGAGCTAAGAGTGTAAGTGGGTCAACAAAAGTTTCTTCAACAAATGGTGCTGGGAAACTGGACTGCCACATTGCAGAAAAATGAAACTAAAAGGACTCTCTTTCCACACATAAAAATTAACTAAAAATGTAGGGGCCCTTCCTGCTGGTTCAGCGGGTTAAAGCACAGCACTAAGTAAGTGGCTAAAGCCACTTAGCATGAGTTTTATCCCCACCCGCCCCGGAGGTGATCCCACATGGCGTGGCAGATCTCTCCTGTCTTGCCCACTGCTCCCCTCAGCAGTGTACTTCGTCAATCTGCCTATTCTTCTCCCCACTCTGTCTCTGGTGAATCCTCTCACCACCCCTGCACCTCTGGCCTGTACCCATTTCTGTATATATAAATAAATAAATCTTAAAAAAAATTAAAAGTATTTAAGCCCTCTACATTTGTGGTGACACATATGGAACTAGAAGGGATTATGTACGTGAAATAAATCAGGAGAAAGGCAAATACTAATGATTCCACTCATGAGAAATATAGGGGGCGGGAAACAAAGGAACTGACAAAACTAAATCTGAACAACTATTAGAACTATGACTGCAGAATTAGGGCTACTGGGGTTGGGGAGCAAAGAGTGAGGATGCCCAGGAGCTTGGGAGTAAAGAATTGTGGGTGCTTTGATGGTGGGTGTGGTGTGTTAATGTACCACTGTGGAGGTGTGAATTTATCCCCCTAAATCAAATATTGTAGTATAAACCAATGTTACCTCAATAAAAGAAAATAAATAAATTTTAAAATGATTCTAAATGGAAAAAAATATGCAGAATCAGAAGTCACCTGAAAATAAATGACTCAAAATAGTTATTGCAAAATTAAAACTTAAAAACAATGAAGTTAAAGTTCAAATGAAGCAGAATCTGTGGCAAAGTGGGGATAATTTGTTCAAAGTCTGCCATTTTAAAATATACCAACTGCTACTTTTAAAACTAAGTAATTAAAACAAATAGGGGGCCCTCCCTGGTGGTGCAGCAGGTTAAAGCACAGCACTAAGAAGCTTAAGCGACTTCAGCATGAGTTCAATCCCCGCCTGCCCTGAGGTGATCCACATGGCACAGCAGACCTCTCCTGACCCTCAGTAGTGTACTTCATCGACCTGCCTGTTCTGCTCCCCTCTCTGTCTCTGGTGAATCCTCTCACCCTCTGCATCTCTGGCCTGTACCCCAGTTCTGTACGAATAAATAAATAAATCTAAAACAAAACAAAACAAACAAAAAAAAAAAAAAATAGGAGGCCCTCCCTGGTGGTGCAACAGGCTAAAGCACAGCACTGTGAAGCTATCGCAGCCATTGCAGCCCACGCTCAATCCCCAGCCAGGGAGCTGACCCACATGGTGTAACAGACCCTTTCTGATCCAGCCGCTGCTCCTCTCAGCAGTGTTTTTCAGTACATCTGCCTGTTCTGTTCCTCACTCTGTCGCTGGTGAATCCTCTCACTCCCCCCTCCAGCATCTCTAGCCTACACCCCAGTTTTGTATGCATAAATAAATAAATCTTTCTAAAAAGTTGTAAGGTACTTTTGTAAAATTCTACATATGTGTCTAAAATTAACTTGTTTCAAAACAACTAGCACTGTATCCAAAATATTTAATCTTACTGAGAAACAAATAGATAAATAAAACAAAGTAACTGTGCTTAATATGTCAAATTATGTAGTGGAAAAGGTAAATAACATATAAAAACAGTTGGATAATTTATCAGCAAAATGAAAATTATAAAACAATCAACAAGGAATGCTAGAAATAAAAATAACAATATCAGAGATGAAGAATTCATCAGCAGATAAGGAAATATTAGTGACCTAAAGTTATGTAATAGAAATTACCTATACTGGAACACCTTAAGGAAAGAGAGTGGTTAAAACAAAACAGTACACATAAGAGCTCTGAGACAACATATAGTCACAAATTGTGCAGATATTTGCAAATAGAGTTGTAGAAGAGGAAGAGTAGAGAAGGAGAAATATTTGAAAATGTAGTAACTGAGAAGTTCCCAAAATTAATAAAAGGCAACAAACAAGAGATCTAAGAATCTCAGAAAACTCCAAGCAAAGTTAAAAAATATATACAATATTTAAAATATATAGTGAAAAATCGAAGGGAAATGTAAAAATAAAAGGCAGCCAGAGATGGGGTTGGAGGGTGGAGGTAGAGTCTATATACAGAAGAACAGGACAATTATAACCTACTTAATGGAAACTATGCAAGTCAGAAGACAATGAAGTGCTATTTAAAAATAACTGAATAAACAGTATTTTTTAACATTCCAGGTTTAGTAATGTTATTTGGGGTTTCCCCCCTACTTGGTTACCCTTCTACTGAATGAGTCACTTTTGGGATTGATTCACAATAATCAGTGGGGAGGGGTCCTCTTGTAGATACAATTAAAAGATAAAGCAAGTGTGGCCATCCGGTTGATGATGATGAAACTAGGTGGTGAGCACATAGGGATACAAGATAATTCCTTACTCTTAATTTTTTCTTTTAATTTCCACCATAGAAAGTTGTTTAACTAAATGGCATTTTAACCAAGAAAAAATAGGTAGAAGAGGTGAATGTGTCATAACACACATCCCACTAGATTCTTGACTTTTTTTTTTGGCCTTTAATTAATGTTCTCTTCATCTTCGATTTTCAATGGATTCATAGGTCTCCAAACTAAGTTTAGAGAATGATGTCGTGTCCCCTTTCCAGTAACATCAACCCAACAGAACCTACCAGTGCCAAAACTTTCTTCCCCACACAAAGAACACCGTCCAGAGTCCATCAGATTTGAGAAGAATCTCCATCCAGCTGGAGTCTCATATACAGGGACCTTCATTAATTTGGCCACTCTGAAAAACAAATTAGAGGCAACAATCAATTCATATATTTTCTCTCCTTTGTTTTCTCAGCACAGAAGCAAGTCTTTAAGAGCTATTATTTGTATAATTAGATTTCAAAAATTCCTGAACAAAGCAGATAATTTTCAATATGTGAAGTTCTAATGTAGAAAATGATACATAGCCAATTCTAATGACTCTTGATTTTTACCTCCTCCATAACATAGAAAACATTAATTTATGTATAGAATATTCTCATATTTATATTTTCCTGTATAAATGTTTCTTTACCCTTCTGGTGAAATTCCACTCAGAGAATCTCAGAATCTAAATTAAATTGGTATTTGGGTACAGAAATTTGGAATATTCTTTGACAGTATGTACTAAAGATAAATGTACACACATCCTATGAACCAACATTTTGGCTCCTAGAAATTACAAATGAAACATGTAGTAGATATTGAAGTGAATCAGCTACTCATGAACTCACACACACACACATTTTAGGACTTTAAAACTGGAATACTCATTTTATCAGATGCTAGGAATGTTGATGTTTGACAGTTCACAAATATGACTCCCACTCTCTGCCAGAGACAGAGCTCACCCAAAATCATCTCCTTCCTGTGTCAATTCACGTTTAAGAACTGAGGCATGGAGCATGTATAAAAGTCAAATGCCCTTGTTCCCATTTGGCCCCGTTCTGTAGGACCATTTCAGTTCTCGAGTGTACATGGATTGTCTAAGGATTTTGTTAGGACTGCATTGCAATTCAACTCCTTTCTCTCTCCATCCAATCCTCCTTCACAGGTGTTAATCTTGAAGCCAACCTTGATCCTCACAACAGAAAAGAATAAACTTCCTGTAAGCAAATCTCTCTGAGTTGCTTCCTAAAGAACTAAAAAAAAAAAAAAAAGATACTCCTCAGTAGAGTATACACATGAGATTTTACAAAATGATCAGAGAATCACAGTTGAGAACAAAAAAAATTACTCAAATGCCCATCAAATTAAAATAGAGAAGTTATCTGTGATCTATATAGTAATACCATAAACTCCACCAGATTATTGCTTCATGCAACAATCTGAAAAATCTCACAACAATATTGAGGAAATAAAGCCATCAGCAAAGACATATACACTATACTTATCCACATAGATAAAATTCTAGTACAGTTAACATTAATCAATACTTCCAAAATGTAGGTTCAGGCTATCAAAGAGGTCAAATGTTTTATTCAAAGGCTCACCAGAATTTGGACTCAACTCTTCTTAATTTGGGCTCATATTCTATCCCGCCACACCATCATGCTGTCTCCCCAAATGCTGTAATGCTTCAAGAGGTATATAGTTCTCAAAGCAGGATGGGGAACAAAGTGCTACCCAGACACTGGCCTGAAGATCTTCACCGTCCCCACAATTAAGCAAAAGAAAAAATGCCAAATGCCTAACACCAGTGAAGCATAGTTTTCAAAGACTGTGAACACAAAGGTGGTTGCGGAAAGGAGCCAGTGACAGTATACTGGTGACAAAAAGAAAGCAGATGCATACAGGAAAAGATTATCATACAATAAACATTTCTTTAGGTTTGGCTTGTGGCCAGTTAGAGGAAGAAATATGTACTAAAGCTTGCCAGAAGAAAGAAACTACCTCTCTTTCCACAAAGCCCAAGTATAATAAATGGGGTCAGAATCATGAAAAAATTATGTGTAAGTCTCTCAAGTTTGCTTTGAAGGAACCACCTCTTGGATGTTCGGGTGCTACATCAAAGTTTCTGTGTTGTGTATTTTTGATGATGCAAGAAAGACACACGTTTATGCTCCTATCTTGATAGTTTATCCTCAAATCCAGGGAGGATTTGAGACAATTCCTCCCCAAATTGTAGTGTAAAGGAAAATTTTCAGAGCCATTAATTTCATAGTCAGAAACACAAGGAAGGAGGACTAAATCACACAGAAGATATCCAAGGGCAGCATGTAGTAAAGCCTGGGTCAAAATTAATTTAGTAAATATGAATGCCTGTGATTACCAAACAGAAAGCACTATGGGGCAGAGCTGAGAGTAAAGGGGAGTGGAGGGCGTGGGGACATGCATGCTCTGGTCAGAACATTCATGTAGGCTCAAAGCCAAGTTGGCATTCTGAAGTAGGGAGTAGAAAGGATTTCCCCAGAACCCACCCTTCCCAATTAATTACTATCAAGAGGTCATCAGGCTGAAGGCTGAGGCTGGGTTTTATAGGACCGGATACTTTATAACTGTGAGCCACAGTTGCAGCAAAGCAAGTTAAGATAACAATATGGGTGATAAAATTCCGGTATCTTGAGCATGAAATGATTATGTCCTAGGGTCAAAAAGGAATTTCCCACCAACCTCCCTCTCCTGAACTTGGTAATCATCCCAACCACAGCATTCAGCAGATAACTTGCTCTAGACTGGTTTTTGGCAGGAGGCACAAAAACTCAAAATGAAACTATTTGTGCTCAGGGGCTAAACCCCTCTCCCTGGATGCTGCCAAGAGCTCACTTTCTAGGAAAGACCATGGTGTGAAGGGAAAGAAAGAAAATTAATGGGTCATGGTTTTCCCAAAAGTAGGAATGAGCCCAGGTAGCAAAAAGAACATGCTGGATGTAAGCTCTTGAGTGGAGTTTAAAATGTCTCAAATTGTATTTTAACTTGGACATCGCTCAACCTATCTTCCTAAGTTTCTCAGAAGTTATTACCTACGTATTCTTAAAAACGGGGCTATCTCTTATTTTCTTTTTTTTTTTAATTTATTTATTTGTACACATAAGAGCCAGGGTATGGGCCAGAGATGAAGGAGGACAAAAGGATTCACCAGAGACAGAGTGGGGAGCAGAACAGGCAGATTGACTGAAATACACTACTGAGGGGAGCAACAGGTGGGCAAGACGTGAGAGGTCTGCAGTGCCATCGGGTTAGCTCCTGGCAGGGATCAAACTCACGTTGCAGTGGCTGTGGGTAGCTTCACAGTGCTGAAACTTAATGCCCTGTGCAACCAAGGAGGCTTCTATCTCTTATTTTCGTTTGCAAATTTTGTGGTGCTTGCTTAAAACTGCTTTGAATTTTACCTGAGTTAGTACTCCTTTCTAATCTCAGTCACGTTCCTCAAAAACCTATCTTAAATGTCCTGCCAAAAGAGAGACTGTGGCAAAGGCTGCTACTTGGTCAACAAACCCCCCCAACCCACCCACCCCCGCTTGAGAAGACACAGTTGGACAATTCCCGACACCCCCTTCAAAGTTAGCTGTGGCCATGTGATAGTTTTAGCTAATGGAACTTGAGTACAAATGATATACACCCCTTTTAGATCTGGCTATAACAACTTCTCATCTTCCATGTTCTCCTTTCTTCCAGCTTGAGGTGGACAAGTCCAGAAATCTTCAAAGTTCCATATTGAAGATGGAAAACCCACAGATGGAAGGGTTTAGATCTCTGAATCAACTGTCCAGCTCTGATCAGAGAGATATGTCTGTACTTTTGGTGATGGAGACACAACCTTTAGCTTGTTTAAGCCTATTTATGTTTTGCATCTAGTTCTATAGCAGCAGTTCCAACATTGTAATGAATCGGTTCCTTTGCTCAGCACCACCATAAATTCAAAGTAACCCTTCCTGCCACTAAATTCCCTCTTGCTTGGCACAGGACTTTATGTTGAAGTTGTCACTGTTTCTAGGGTTACCTCGTTCCTTCCACACACTGCCATACCACTACCACCAATTTGTCAAAGTTCTTTGAGAGCAAGGACTGCATTGTGTCTGCAGAGCTCTTTAACATCTAGAAAAATACAGCTTATCACACCTTCAAAAAATGCTGTACAATTTCAGTTGGCTAACATCTACTATTTAAAGAGTGTTATTGGATACTTTGGGGCCAAAGTTATCTCTATTTCATACTCCTTATAGTTTCCTAAATATATAAATAGTCACTTTTTGTATGTTTCACTTATATTAATCATTTTGAACAAAAGATTTTTTTTCAGGTATCAATCACTGGTGCTATTATGATGATACAAAGCTTTTCTTGGAAGTAAATATCTTTTCAAATTAAAGACAGTGACTGAGAATCAAAGTTTTGAGAAGCAGCAAGGCATATTTTATTTCTATTTTGCCAGGTGGTTATCCTATCCTCATGTGATCAAAGAAAGGTATAAAAGGAACTAAAAGTACTCTAAAAGCCTTTTACATTTAGGGGTGTTGGCATATCCTTTTCTGTGCCTCCTGCATCAAGCTCATAATTACTCATAGTAGGCATTCAACTATTAACCTAATAATATAGTACGCCATCACTTTTGAGATTAACAGCCTATTGGTACGTCAACAATTACTAGCAACTCAAAAGAGAAGAGCCAAATAAAAAAATGATGGATTATATTATATTACATGAGTAAGCTATATTCAGCTGTTCTCTGAATCCTACACATCAGAAGAGTCTTTTGACCCCCAGTTTTGGAAACAATACTTGTAAAAGGGGCAAGACAATCGTCCCTCTTCAAATGTCCAGTTCTATTTTTATTTTTATTTTTGTTGGAGCTTAGCAAAGCTCAGGGTTTTATTTTTCACACCCTTTTTTAAAAGTCCTCAACTGGTAATGGGAGATTTATGGAGACTACACCTGAGGAGAGAAACCAAATATTGTACAAAAATGAACAGTGATGTAAGATAATTACAAATAAACATAAGTTCCACTATAAACAAAAGAAAAAGTCCGCAGGTACATAGATTTGTCTCACAAATATCCAATGAAGGACTTACATAAAATTTACAATAAAACTCTCATAAACCAAATAAAAAAGGCAAATAACCTTTTTTAAAAAAGATTATTTATTCATACAGAACTGGGGCACAGATCAGAGATGCGGAGGGTGAGAGAATTCACCAGGGACAGCGTGGGGAGCAAAACAGACAGATCGACGAAGTACACTGCTGAGGGGAGCAGCAGGCAGGTCAGGAGAGGTCTGCCATGCCATGTGGATCTCCTCCCGGGCAGGCGGGG